CGATCAAACCTTAAAACAAAGCTCTAGATCTCTCACAACTCTCCCACAATTGGATGTAACAATCCTCTCTTAAAGACTGCTCAAAATCGTCCTTGCATTACCCTAATCAATCAGGTTTGAGTTATATATAAACCCAAAAACGAACCGGGTCAAAAACCAAAAGGCCCAGCCCAAACAGACTGCGGTCGACCGCGACGGTCGACCGCGCATGTTCGCGGTTGACCGTGGCGGTCGACCGAACCACAAACCCGAGACTAAAAATCGATTACAGTCATCCACGGTCGACCGTCATCAGTTCCGAATCCTACTTGCACTTGTGCACGTTCGCGGTCGACCGCCAGTCTGCCTGGCTGATTCTTTGCTGTTTCCTGTATTTCTTCACGGAGCTGATACAAATTCAGAGGAATTCTGACTCAGACTATGGTAATTATCACGACGAGAGGAGATCATCGACTGACTACGTTTTCATTATGGCAAGTTGATGACTGAGATGTGAAAAAAATTGAGATCATCGATTTGCATTATCTGATTCTCATTCTCTACCCTCTTCACTCTATAACCTAATATTATCTGAACAATAAACACGGGACTCATGAACCTTGTTAAATCTGTGTCTTCATTTGCTACCAGCATGTCTTAATCTTGATATTTCTCTTTCTATACTTAGCTTCGACAATATTAATCTGAATCACTTCCTCTGACCTTAACATATGCCTGACAAATAGCTAACCTAAAATGACAACTTGATAACTAAGGAATCAATACGGCACGCTGCAAATCAAACAATAACATAAGCAAGGCAGGGTTCCAATCTCAATAATCTATTAATATTTTGAGTAAGAATCTGTAGTCCTTTTGTGTGGAAAAACTTGCAAAATTACCCACTTGACCTATTTAACAACAGGACGTAACAAGATCCAGATCTAGCGACGCATTAATCAGATTCCAACTCAGTAATTAATCTCTTAACACAATCAATATGATTCTGTACTAACTCACTGCAAAACTGCAGATTTCTTAGCTAGCTAGCGGACTTTCGATATAATATTGCAAGTATCTAGTGAACAATGGACAGACGATGGTAATTAAGACTGATACAGCCATAAACAAACGCTAACGGTCTACGCACTCAAAGTGCATAAGCCTGTAACACCGACGAAAGTCTCACTAAATTTAAGCCCAATCAAGCTTACATTAAAGCTTTCAGTTAATCACTAATTACAAGCTGACATACATTACAAAAATAGTACACGTAACAGGCGTTGACTCTCATCGAGGCCCCTGCAATGGCATCGCGTTCTAATATGCTAATTGGCTCCAAAATACAACCAGCCTGCAGATTTAAGAAAACAACTTGATTATTTAAGAACTGGATATAATAAGATTCAGATCTAGCAAGTCATTAAGCACATTTCAACTTATTAATTTCTTAACATAATCAATAAGAATGTGTGTTAACCCACTGAACCACTTGCAAAAAACTATAGATTTCCCAGCCTTTATACTTTCAGTATGGTAATTTAAGGCTAACACAGCCATATAATAGCGACGAAAGTTTCATTAAGCCTAATCAAGCTTCCAACTAATTACTAGTCAGAAGTTGACATACATTTAAAAATAGTAAATGCAGTAGCATCATGTGTTAATATGCTACGTAGCAACTAAAGTACATGTAGTAAGTGTAGCAAGCAAAGTCAAGTGTCATACTCTATAAAACCCTTTCTAAATACAGTATTTTACTGAATATGTGAATAAAATTATTGGCAAAAGGACTTAATCAGGTAATTGCTTACTATAAACGTAACGCTGGATAGCACATGTCATGTTTCTAAGATGTATGCACGATGGGAGTGGTTTACCAGCAGCATGTGTCTAAGATGCATATAAAATGGCGATATTTCCAAACTGAGATTTGGTTAGTCAGTCCAAATCAATGATTAACAGAAAATAATAATAATAAATGTGTTTGGTACGAAGATTTAAAGTCGAAGGAGCAGGTTGGACTCTAATGAGAGACAAAAAAGAAGGTTACCATTCAATAACAAATACTTTACATCTTGAAATTACATGGTCTGATAGCTTACAAACTTTTCATCTCTAGAGTTGATGTATTAAAAATTAACCACCTCTTGCATCGGGTGTGTTATAGCTGTTCTAGTGCTAAAAAGTAATCTCTAATCAGAAGCAGATAAGGACCCCGCATTATGCGTAATCAAGTCAACTTTTCACTTAACCAAAGACCCAGCTTGGACGACTCGACGCGCCGATATCTCGCGAAGACGACTCAAAAGGCGTTGCATGTCGACCCTTTGGCTTGGCTGACTTCTTGACCAATCTACTCGACTGACCATTCGGCCGACATCTCGCGAGGACAGCTCAAAAGACGATACTTCTCGACATTCTACCGGACGAGTAGAAAGGCGAAGACTACCTCGAGGCTTGAGGCACCTCCCGCGCACTAATAGTCAATCACCTCGCAATAAATGTCATTAAATGCATTATGAGCGTCATCATTCCTCTGCCCCAATAGTCTCTATGACACATGTAGGCGTCTAAAAATGCCTATGGGTACCCGCACACAGCTCAAGACAAAGAGAAGGTGATGAACGTCGTTATCCGAATCAAAGAGGATTATCCAACGCCGACAAGCGCATGAAGCGAATCGGCAAACTGTTGATGACACGACAACGAACCACCACAATGGAAAACACCAAGTGGACCGCACGCGTTAATCAACTCAAAGCATACAAACGCGCCCAACAGTCAGTTAACACGCACGCATCATTCAGCTCGTGCATGTCAATCAGTGCGCGCGTCAATCAGTTCACGATGGCGTCAATCAACGTACATTAATCAACTCGCGTGGAGCATACAAGTCAACACGACGGATGAGTAAAACGGGAGAAACTACAAGTCGCCCGCGCGGGTCGGATCCATCCGACCCGCGCAAGCGCGGGTCAGACCAGTCTGCCGCGCTGTTTTGACATCCTGATGTGTATTTCGACGGTTTTAACGATTCTCTCAAGATCTTTTCAGTTCCAGAGGTTCCCAACTACCTAGATATGATCACCAAACGTGGTTAGGCTGTTGTCAACTGAAGATAAGGTCAAATCACTTGTTCTCATCCAAATAACCGCTTCCGAAGCCCTATAAATACAAGCATAGGGCCTCCTTTCAGCGGGGGCGATTGATTATCAAGACGAGGAGGTGCTGCCGGATTGTGGAGTCAAAGGAGCACGAATTTCAGCAAGGGTTGACAGATCTTGGCGAGTTCTTCGGCATAAAGAAGGAGAGTTCGAGAGATCCGACGCCCGTTCCCGTCCGTCCCTTGAGATTAGGCTTGGTCTTAATCTCGAGAAGAGCCCTGATTTCGCTTGGTCGATCTCAGCGCTTCAAATCAAATACTTCCTCGGCGAAGGCGAAGCTCTGCCGAATTTTCCATCAACCGGATCCAGATCTAAGGCGGTCCACGGATAAACCCCGGCACAGGCAGAGATCCCACACAAGCAGAAGACCGATAAACGATCTCTGCGTTTGTTTTGACGAGAGTTGTAACTTTTTGTTTTCATTGTGTAAAAGTCTTATAAAAAGACAATCTTTTTGTTTTCATTGTAACGACTAAAGTTGTAATGAATACCGCAATGAATACAATAATTTTCTGTTTTCATTGTAACGACTAAAGTTGTAATGAATACCGCAATGAATACAATAATTTTCGACGCAAACAACACACCGAACCACGTCGGCACCACACGCCCCCAATCACTTCACATTGAATGCCGAAGTGACCTCTCGTCCACTCGTTGACCAACACATGTAAAGTAGATGCTGACTTGGCCGCCAGCCCATACTCGGTCGAAATTACCATCCTACCTCTCTACCAACATTATAAATAGGGGTACTATTTTTAATAATAAGGCAATATCGATCTTAATCTCTATCCAATGTGCTTGAGAACTACTACAGTCCACTTAAGCAAATCACTAACTTGATCGTCGGAGGAACAATCGAGGAACCCAACCTCGTCCTCTTAAGATTTTTCTACTTGTACAGGGAAGAACATCACACCTCAGAACCGAACAGTTAATTGCACTTCTTTTATTGACTGTTTGATATCAGCCATCAACAGGGTGTATGGGATCACAAAGGTTATAAGATATTTGCATAAATGAAAGTAATACGATGATAAATAGCGTAATGTAGCAATCTTAATTTTCAATTCCAATTGATACCCCACTATATGCATGGTTATGATTTGTCTCAAGTAAAAGTAAAAACCAATAATAATAAGTGCAATTAACTGACATGAGTCACATTCAAAAAGATGTCTATTACATTCAAGATAAATGCATCTATCAAGAAATTAATTGAAGCTTGTGATTAAGAAAGGGCCATCTCGATTGCCAAATCAATAGGTAGATGAACCAAAATACAATCAGCACACTTATGCTTTCGGTGTGGCTAACTGTGACCATGACCTGTTTTAAATTAAAGGCGATATAAAATGAAACATTTCAGCTGCATCACTACGGTGGCATTGTAACATTACAGCCTTTAAAGCATTTGCCGTTTGAACAGATGAAATCTTTACAGGCTTACATCAAAGACCTTAAGTTTATTTGGTACTAAACAATGTACGTACAGGAAGCACAGAACATGTACAATGTTTAAGAAACTTCTCTTACCTACAAATAAACCTTGAGATATTTCCAGGGCTCTCAGAGATAGATGCACTTTGAATCGGTTCAGCTAATAATCCTTTTGACAATTAGATTGAGAATTCTAAGCAAACATCGAAAACTTGTGCCAGTTCTCACGCAAGGAAACTCGGAAGGCGGAATGAAGTTTGACGTAGAAAATCGGCCTAATGGTCTAATAGAAAGTGTTATTAAGCTAAAAATAGCCAAACCCTTGAAAGAGGAAACAGAAAATGAAAAAAATAGGATGGATGTGCTCATGATGAAGATACAAGAGAAAATAAATGAAAAGAATAACCCATAACTTATATTCCTAATGACAAATACATTCGAAGGAGAGGTAACTTTACATTCCGAGCCTAAATAGGCTAAAAGAATAATATAGAACTGGAAGATATGAAACGAAAACAATTAAACTTTTCCTCTTTGATACATGAATAATGTATAACAGGGACCTTTCTTCTTCGACAGAACTCGTTGTCTCTTTGTGCGAAAATGCCAGTCCCTTGGTTCCTCTCCTTTGTTATCCTGTTCTTGTTCTTCGAGATTTATGAACAACATACACGATACTATTTGCAGGGTTTATACAACTTACTGATCCATTTGATACTGTTTCATAATTATTTCGGCATATAGAAGCTCATTCCATGAATCGGGCACACCAGGCAAGCACCAGTGGCTACAGTCTTGGAATCTTCTAGGATTTCTTCTCTCCTCTTCAGTGAGATTTCGCTTTCGGTATACAGAAGGATGAGCATCTTTTCTATAATCGGTTAGTCGAGTGATGTTCATATAAGACACTGGGGTTTTCATTCCTTTGATCACCGATTCAAGAATTTTCATCTTTGGAGGATAAGATGACAGATACTTCTCATCCTGTATCGGCTCTGTCTCTATGTCACATGACCCTCCTGAATTCCATTGCCCTCCTCTGAACAACAAAAAGAGAATTCAATTAAGTTCATTCTTGTTGGTAATGCACAACTTGAAAGTAACAATATTTCAACATAATATTTTTTGCACTCTTTTACCTTCAGAGAGACTCGCTAGTTTCACTTTCCAGGACGATATAACAAACCAAGGGTAAAAGAGTGCAAAACAACAATAATGTAGGGGTTCTATGTGCAACAATAAAACTACACGGGCAGTGACTGCAAAAACAACAATAATATAGGGGTTCTATGTGCACTTAACGTTATCTTTTTCTTTGATAAAGCTACACTTCATTACCTCTAATCAAGAAGGATTGTAAATTCAGTACCTGAAATGAACAGCAGAGTAACCGCTGAACAAGACAACGGTTTTCTTAGGATTCACATTGGCATCTACCCATCTTGCCCAAGTGTTGAGAGCTTTATGGAATGCTATCAGAACATGGAGTTCGCCGTAGAGTGTATTGCCTTCTTGGTAGTAGCCTTTCCTGTATCGAGAATTCCAATATCAGCCTATGTCCTCGGTAAAGATACGTCTCTTTGTGGGTAGACCCCCTTTGCTATCGCCAAACTAACATGCTATCCCTGTAGTTCTGTTGTTGCAGATAGACGCTCTGAAAAGGGTCAAAATGTTTTCATTTAGGTGGTCTATGTGCAGCGATAGAACTACAAAGGTGGTAAGTTCAATTTGGCGATAGTAAAGAGGGTCTATCCACAATTAACATGTTAAAAATAATGCCAACTCCTAAGATTATGCGGATCAACTACCCTCCTGAGGTCTTTGCATCGGTCCACCAATGGCCAGAGTTGAAGACAATGATATCGGCATCCTTGTAGTTAAGTAATGATCTGTCGATCATATCAAGACGCAGGGTTTCCTTTGTCTCGTTGCCGTTGCGTGTCTCCAATTTTTGAACAAGGAAAGGGGAACCAAAGTATTGCACTGTGGCATTATAACCCTAACAAATCAATAAACAGAACGACAAAAATTACTACAATAATTACAAAAACACAAGGGGTAAGAAATAAAACATGCGTTATAGACAAGAGTATACCGTAAACAAGAAAGAATAAGACCCTTGTGATCTAAATTCACGACGACCAGAAACCTCAGAAGCCTTGCTCTTATCCTCTACCGAGTTCTTTAAGATACAGACCAGAGACTCAAACATGTTCCTATTGAGTGAATCACCAACAAGGACCAATTGCTTCCCTCTCAATCTCTCCAACATATCGGTCGCATTAAATCTACATTTCAAGTTCAAGAAAGTGAGTATTTTAATTTCAAATCAAGTAGTAAATCAATATTTACTAACTTCAAGTATATAGCAATTCAAGAATGAATTAAAAGATGAAAAAAACTATATAATTCTCCCATGTACATGATACAAGAAAATGTATCAAATGATCCTATCTCAATCTTTAAACAACAATATTGAATCAATTTGGCAGACAAAATGTTAGTAATCCAATGATTAGCCATACAAATTGCTCTAACCTTGGGATATTGCAACCAGTTGGCTGCCATCGGAGCTTCTGATAATTTCTATCTGGCCTCCCATTGAGATAACAATTAAAAGGCTCATCGACATTAGAGCAAGATCCCTCAGGATACAGAGGATAAGATTCATCCTTCACCCAATGCCCGTCAAATATATCACAACCAATCATATCTTCAATCCATTTCTCCCTCTTCTTTCCATTATTCTTGTTGGAGCTCACTTGCGCCGTTTCGTCTTTATTCGCAATTGAACTTGTAGACTTGGCCTTGGTTTCTCCCTGCGTAGTTGAAGTTCGATTCTCCTCTGAGACTCCACTTCCTTGTGATTCAAATTCTGTCTTGGTCTGGTTCTTGCTCTCTGAAACTTCATCTTTCTTGATCTCAACCTCGGAATTCCCCTGTTTCTGCTGTGTAACTCCACTTTCTTGAGACCCGGTTGCAGTTTGATTCTCATTTGAAACTCCAATTCCTTGCGACACACTTCTGCTATTGGTCTGGTTCTTGCTTTCTGAAACTTCACCTTTCTCGATCTCAACATCAGAATTCCTCTGTTTCTGCTCTGTAACTCCACTTCCTCGAGACCCAGCTGCACTCATAGTTTGATTCTTCCCTCCAACTGCACTCTTCTCAGAAACAGCCTCATCATCAGAACCAGACTCATTTTGGGTTGAATTATTATTGGAAACTTCATTTTCTCCAGACCGGAATCCAATTTGAGTCTGATTCTCCTTCAGAGCGCCATTGACCCCTGACCCATTTCCCAAAACCGCGTCTTCAGACGACCCACCTCCTCCATCAACTTCATCAACCATCGAAGACGAAGAATTGGGAAGGAAGTGGGAAAATAGAGAGGAGACCTGAGACTGATGAGGGGCAACTGAGTCTTTGACAGAGGAAACAGAGGAAGAAGAGAATACATTATAGAACCAAGGAGACGATGCATTGCTCGATGGGTTGAAGGCGAGGAAAGCAGTGCAAGCTACAAATGCACATACGAAGCCGTAGGAGAAAAGCTTTGTTCGTCCGGTTCTTGGTATTGAGATGAGTGCCATGAGATCAGAGGTGGTGGATTTTGGGTTTTGGCTCTTCATTGTAGTGATGTAGAGGTAAAGGTAGAGCGTGTGTGGCGAGAGAGAAGAGCGAGAGGGGGTGGGGGGGAGCAGAGAGAGACAGAAGTTATTATGGAGTGAATTCAGGACAGAGTGGAATTTGGTTTTCTCCTTCAATCTTCTTCCACGGACGACAGAGATAAAAATGACTTTATTACTCTTCCTGATTTCTTCTCTAAGGGCTTTGCCCAATATCTTTATTGATTAGTCAAACAGAAATGACTTTATTACGCTTCAGTTGGTTAAATTGCTAGTGAACTTGGGGCGTATATAAATGGTAATCGTGTCTATGGTGATGATTTCTGTTTATATTTGTGTCATTTATCTAATGCATTCCGTCATTTTTTACTTAAAACGGAATTTAGAATCTTTATTAGTGAAGTTGATGTATTGTTAAATTTAATTGATAGTATGACCGTGTCCTGGTTGGGGTTTTTAGCCCAAGAAATGGGATTAGTGAGCAAGTTCATCTTGAAGAACACTGATATCATTGTTAGTGACATCATTCGGGTCATGAATGATGAGCTACTTTTAGCTTCCAAGGAAAATGTTGCTAACCGCATATCATGTCATCAACAGGGGAGGATCTACATACAGTCCAGGGGGGGCCACGGCCCCCCCAAAATTTGGGGGGAAAAATTAGGGTGCTCTATTCCTCAAGCCCCCTCAAAATTTTGGGGGAAAAAATTAGGGTGCTCTATTCCTAATTTGGGAAAAAAAAATTAGTTTGTGAATATTAATTATTTGAGGGTTTTTATGTATATATTAATAGTAAATATATTACCATGAGTAGCAACAAGATTAATAAAGGGGGTTTCATTGAAGTTGGAAATTTATGGAGAGGTATTTAGCGAATGGGTAGAATGAGCTCGTGGTCATCAAGACATCACCATTGGGCATCATTATCGATTAGACTTTCTTTATGTCGCGATTGATTCACAAATGCAAGAAATTAATGTGCGTTTTAGTGAAGATGCGACAGAATTGCTCATGCTTAGTTCTGCCTTAAATCCTCAAAATGCATATGAGGCTTTGAGAATACAAGATATATGCAAATTGGTTGGCAAGTTTTATGCACAAGATTTTACAAGTGAAGAAAAAGAGAGTTTGAAGATGCAACTGAAACATTATGATCATAATGTAGTCAAAGGGTCAGACTTCAAAACTCTTTCAACCATTTCTGAGTTGGGTCAATGGTTGGTAAAGACTAATAAATCTGCTACATTCGACCTCATTTCTAGAGTGATCGTACTTGTGCTTACTCTTCCAGTTTCTACCGCTACTGCAGAACGATCATTCTCAGCTATGAATATCGTCAAGACTAGACTTCGAAGCAAAATGGAGGATGCTTTCCTCTCCGACGCATTAATGGTGTTTATTGAAAGAGAAATTGCTAAAAGTCTGAGCATTGATGCTATCATTGAAGGCTTTGAAAATTTTAAGGAACGTCGAATTCCTTTTAGTTAGAGAAATTTTAGTTATAAAAAAATAGATGATGCTTATTTGACTATTTTCTATATAATATTTATCTTCCTCTTTTGAAATATTTTGGAGATATTGATGTTGGCTATTCTACTCGTTTTATGTGGGTTGTGGTATATCTCTTGTGAATAAAATTACATTAAGAAAATTTTTTATCTATCTTTTGTACGCGGCCCCCGCAGAACTAAAATCCTGGATCCGCCCCTGGTCATCAAGGAATTGTGAGCTATTATATGTTCGTGCTAAAATCACTTGCTCATTCTAGTTGTTGTCCATTCTTGCAGAAGGTTGTTGTGCTGACGGCGGCGCCGAGGAACCAAAACAAACGCCGATCCAAGAAGGCCAAAAACAACCAAATATCAATGCACAAACCAAACACCAATTTTAACGTGGTTCGGCAATTGCCTAAGTCCACGGGGCAAGAAGGGGGAGGGTTTCCACTAATAGAGAAGGAGAGTACAAATTAAGATTACAAATCGCTCAAACGAACCAACTAATCTCACCAACAAATCTCTCAACCTCTCAACCAATAACCCTAACAAATAGCTCAGAAAGATCTCTCTTTTGTGCTCCAAAATCCCCCAAAAAGAAAGATCTCTCTTTTTGTGCTCAAAATCGCCCAAAACGCTCCTACAAAACCCTCAAATCGTATTGGTATTTATACCAAAACAGAAACCCAAACAGACTGCAAATAGGAACCTGAACTTTCTAAAAAACCCGTCGTAAGTCGACTTATCAGTCTGCATAAGTCGACTTGGCAGAGCGAAAAACGATAACTGGAGAAGAGATCATAAGTCGACTTATCAGACCTGATAAGTCGACTTGCCAGAGCTCAAAATTAATAATCCAGAGTAGATCGTAAGTCGACTTACGACACGAACATAAGTCGACTTACCATAAGTCGACTTATGCCTGTGCATGAGTCGACTTATGACCAAAAAACTGCTTTTTCCAAGTTCTCCTCCACAATTCTCCACCTCGGCGAAGTTTTCCCAAAACTGAGCCGACACCGACCAAACCAAATGCCTCACTTGTTGCGTTCAGTACGAAGTGAAACGATCCACAACAACGGACTCAATCCATAACAAGTCGAGACCCAAACGGGAGTGTGAACACTCACCCAAACGTCGGTATCTACTCACCAAATCGGCTGCATCAAAACTGACTGCCTACGTATCCTCCTGTCCAAGGAATCAAGCCTTCACGTAGTTCACCCAAATGGCCTCCAAAGGCCTCAATCCACTAGAAGAGTTCGCAACCCTTCTCCAATATCACGATCAAGTCTGCGGCTGATAGCACCTCCAATGGCTTCAAACTGAACTAATCCAAACATCTCCATATGAGGTGAACCAATGGCCGTATCCAAATCATGACCACCAGCTGCAACCGAATTCAAAACCAATCCATCATCTGCATCCGAAATCAAATGATTCCCAACCTGTGTCACCTTAGCTGGAATCCCAAATGACGCAGTATGATCTGGAGTACGTGGAGTAATCTCCACCCAATGTGGAGTAGCATCACTCTCCACCTGCTGCGATATCCAAACGACCTGATCAACACTCTCCACCTGCCGAGAGTCAAAAGTGACATACCTGCTCAGAACAAAATCAGAAGCTCCCAAACGATAATCAACTGAGCCTCCGAACCCCAAACGCGCAATCGGATCAAATCTCACATCCTCAATGTGACCAAATGCTGGGTATCCAAATATCCGACGCGACCCAAAATCTGAAGCAGCTCCACCAGATCTAATAACTCCTAAAGCAGCAGTCGGCGACCTATGCATAAGATGACCCAAATATGTCGAAGCCCGCACACCAATGCCAATGCTCGACATCAAACGCCGATCCTCCTCCAGAAAGGAACGACCCATCGAAACTGTCATCTCATCTCGTCGCCCCAAAGTCTCCACACCAATGAAGTGTCTCCTATTGCCGTGAGCTCGGCACAAACGCAAGAAAGGACCCCTACCAAAGCTGAAACAACGAGTTACCTTTCTGCCAATACACTTCTTCCAACTGTTGTTGACTTCTAGGACTTTACACCAACGGGAACTGGTCGCGACCCAATAATACCTAGAACAATCATCAACTGCGGAAACCAAGATACGATTACCTCCCAATGATGCCTCCTTGGAAAGCCCCCAAATACCTGACTGAACACCTCCTAAAAGACCCCTCGCTCGATGGATAGGAGTGCCAAACTCCACCACGGTCTTGCTCATCCCAATGTGCTCACAAGACTTTAATCTGCAGGTCATAGCACTCCTCAACAACCAATGCACGACATTACCAATCATATACCCCAGCACCAAACAATGCCACAGTCTAGCCGAATCTGATGAAGTCGTCATCTCCCTATCAATCACCGTGCTTCCAAGCAAATAGTACAAATTACTCCTTCTGACGCCCTTCATCACAATCATGGACCCAAATGTAACCTTCAAGCGTGCATCCGCCAAGGTCACCCTATAGCCAGCTGCCTCCAAAGCTCCAAGTGAAATGATGTTCTTCTTCAACTGAGGAACGAACCTCACTCCAACCAACTCCCGAATCACCCCGTCACTCATCCTGATCCGAACGGTACCGATACCACCAATAGAGCATTTGTGATCATTCCCCATGAGCACGAAATCTCCTCTTTCCAACTCCTAAAAGCTGGAGAACCAATCCCTCCTAGGGTAAATATGGTATGTAGCCCCCGAATCCAACATCCACTCTGTAGAGTAGGCAACACAAACTGACGGTAGTGCAGATAACGAGTAGCCCGAAGAATCCGAATCTGAATCGTTGTCATTTGCCTTGACAACATTCGCCTCTGAAGCTTGAATAGCTTTTCCCTTATTCTTCCCGGCTCGATCAACTAACTTTGGGCAATCGGCTTTCCAATGTCCATCTTCTTTGCAAAAGGCACATTGATTCTTACGAACTCCAAGATGTGCCCCTCTAGACTGCGACCTCCCACTACGGTTTGGACCCTTTGCTCTTGCGACCAACGCCCCCGCTACCGGCTCAAACGAAGTCTCCTTATCCTTCTTTCGAAGCTGATAATTCACAAGTGCAGCGGTGACCTCACTATACGAAAGAGATGCCTTCCCATTAATAAGAGTAAGAACGAAGGTCTCATATTCCTCGTCAGGCAAGGAACTCAATAGCAACAACGCCTTGTCCTCATCTTCAATCTTAACATCCACATTCGCCAAATCCGCAAGAAGCTTCGTGTAGTGGTTCATGTGATCACCAATGGAGGTTCCTTTCTTCAACTGGAAGCGGTAAAGCCTCCTCTTCAAATGCAAGCGATTCTCCACACTCTTGGTCAAATACTTGCTCTCAAGGATCTCCCAAATCTTCTTTGCAGAAGTCTCATTGATCACATCATACTTTAGATCTTGAGTGAGACAAGACCTAATCACACCACACGCCGTTCGATTCATCTTTTTCCAAACCTTCTCATCAATGTTGTCCGGTTTCCCGTCCAACTCCAACGTATCTTCCAAATTTTGCGCGTTGAGCGCATCCATGACTTCGCATCGCCAAAGTCCAAAATTGTTTGTGACATTGAACTTTTCCACGTTAATCTTCATCGAGTGGATATTCAAGCTTTGGACGGTCTTCACGCCGGAAGTACTGCCCACAACTCCTTCTTTCTCGGTCATAATCCTCAAAACACCATCAAACCAATGCGGAAACAAACGAGAAATAGATCCAAACTGAAAAAGACGAGATTTTTACTAAAAAGATCCCACCTTTATCACCAAACGAAGCCCTAGATGAACTTCCAAAGCGATCTACTCCTCCAAATAGCCCAAGCGTAGCCCGAGCTCTGATACCACTTGTTGTGCTGACGGCGGCGCCGAGGAACCAAAACAAACGCCGATCCAAGAAGGCCAAAAACAACCAAATATCAATGCACAAACCAAACACCAATTTTAACGTGGTTCGGCAATTGCCTACGTCCACGGGGCAAGAAGGGGGAGGGTTTCCACTAATAGAGAAGGAGAGTACAAATTGAGATTACAAATCGCTCAAACGAACCAACTAATCTCACCAACAAATCTCTCAACCTCTCAACCAATAACCCTAACAAATAGCTCAGAAAGATCTCTCTTTCTGTGCTCAAAATCCCCCAAAACGCTCCTACAAAACCCTCAAATCGTATTGGTATTTATACCAAAACAGAAACCCAAACAGACTGCAAATAGGAACCTGAACTTTCCAAAAAAACCGTCGTAAGTCGACTTATCAGTCTGCATAAGTCGACTTGGCAGAGCGAAAAATGATAACCGGAGAAGAGATCATAAGTCGACTTATCAGACTTGATAAGTCGACTTGCCAGAGCCCAAAATCAACAATCCAGAACAGATCGTAAGTCGACTTACGACACGAACATAAGTCGACTTATGTCTGTGCATGAGTCGACTTATGACCAAAAAACTGCTTTTTCCAAGTTCTCCTCCACAAAGGTATCGTGCTTATCGAGCCTAAGCCGGAGCTCTGATCGGAGCACAATTTTCACCGGTTACGCCTAGATTCAAAGTTGCCCTGTCTTCCACGGCCGGCTCCTCTTCATTGTGGAGCACCATTAAAATTGCCAGCAATCCTTTCTTTCACAGACGACTTGAAGCATATCGAGATAGATTGACATTTTACTCCTCAGCATCTTCTTGTTTCATCTTGGCAAATCACTTTTGGTAGACCCAAATACACTTCAAGGGGGTGTTGAATTTTGCACATACGTAAACATTGTGTTTTATTCTCTTAATCCCACACTGCTAGGATCCTAGAACGACACCCTTTTCACTTGTTCTCCCAAGCTCTATGTTTATCATATAAATGGGTAAATTTCACAAAACCCTTCACTCTGAGGTGTTTTCCTAGAAACCACCCAATACTTTGTTTTCTTCACTGAAAACAAACTTTCGTACATAACCCAAAAATGACGAAAAATGTCCACCATGTGAATGCGGACGTGAACGCGGACCCGCGGACCCAAGGCCCACCCGCTTTTGTTAATCGCTGTCTATATATATATCTCAGTTCCAAGGGTTTTTTTTTGTGTCAGGAGGCAGAGGGGAATCTTTGCGGCTACAGGTGTGCGGCTACAGGGGTGCGGCTGGAGAAAGAGATAGGCAAAGTATTGAGAGAATTTGAGAGAGAATTTGAGGAGATTTTGAGCAGTCCCTTCTAGGGTTTTGTGCATCTCTTTGAGAGGTATTTGTGAGGGATTTGAGAGTTTGTTTGAGGGTTTAGATTGTGAGTGATTGTAAACCCTAGTTGTATTCTCTCCCTCTATTAGTGGATCTCCCTCCTCCTTGCCCCGTGGACATAGGCAATTTGCCGAACCACGTTAAAATTGGTTGTACTGCTTTTGTGTGATTTGTAATAGCTTTTAGGGTCCCTCGACGCGCAGTCCTAGAGCTGACGAGAGGAAGAGCTAATATCCTACTTTGATAGGTTATAGGCTTCAGATTCTTGTTCCCTTTGAAAAACAAGAATTCTTATTGCGACCTGACTCTCTTGTTGTGCTGCCGAAGTGCTGCCGAAATTTCCGCTGCGCGCAACAAGTGGTATCAGAGCCCAGATTTTAGATCTAGGGTTTTTTTGGTGGATGAAGATTTTGTGTGAAGCTTGGTTCTTGGAGTTCTCGGCTTCGGTGGAGATAGCGTTAGGAGTTGCCGTTGGAGATTTCGCTTTCCTCGTGTGGATAGGAGATCTATTTGGAATCCGATCTAGGGTTCAGTTGGGTGGTTCCTAATTCTATCAAATTTGTTCTTTCTCTACAATTTGGAGTTAGTTCGCAATGGGAGAAGAAGGTGAAAGCAGCAAATCGATGGCGGGTACAATACAAGTTGGTTTTCAAAACACCAAAATTAGTGTGGTGAAATATGACGGAAAAATCAACTTTGGTTTGTGGATGAGCGACGTACAGGATGCGTTAAATGCTCAGAATTTGGAAGAGACCATCATGGTCCACGAGAGGCCACCTAAATATGAAGAGGCGGTATGGGAGAAAATGAATAGGAACGCTTGTGGGGTGATCAGGTCATGTTTGGAACAGGAGCTGAAGTATGATGTGATTGGGGTGACGTCTGCGATGAAGATGTGGGAAATTCTCAACAATAAGTACCTTACGAAGAGCGTTGAGAACAGGTTGCACTTGCTGCGAAGACTCTTCAGATTTCAGATGTCCAGAGGCACCTCACTAGCGGCTCATGTGAACAACTACACTAAGTTGTTGTCGGACTTGGCGAATGTTGATGAGAAGATATCGGATGAGTACAAGGCGATTATTTTGTTGGGCTCCTTACCGGATGAGGAGTATGATACCTTCGTGCTCACTTTGTTGAACGGGAGATCTTCTATCAGCTATAGTGAAGTGACTAACGCTTTGACGAACTACGATTTGAGGAGGAAGGACAAGGAGACTTCCCGCGCTAGTACTTCAGGAGAGGCCTTGTTACATACAGATGCCAGCACGATATTCTTTTTTGTTTGATATTTTCCACTTTTATAATATTCTTTTAGCCTGTTCAGGCTTCTACAATTTTCTTATGTCGAAAAATTGACATAAGAATCAACATAATGATCTCATTGACAGAAACTGTTATGAACTAAAATAACGAAATTCCCAAAAAAGAAAACAGAAAAATTAACAATATGATGGATGTGCTAATGATGAAGACACAAGAGTAAAGAAATGCAAAGAATAACAATAATTTATATCTCTATTCACAAATAAGTTTTTAATTTCTCGTATGAGACCTAAAGTTACATTATAAGCCTGAACAGGCTAAAAGAATATTATAAAAGTGGAAAATATCAAACAAAAACAAGTAACCTTTTCCTCTTTAATACACGGATAAATCTATAACCAGACCTTTCTTCTTCAACGAAACTCTCTTTCTTTCTCCATACGAAAATTCCATCTTCTGCTCTCTTTCTCCTTTGTTACTCTGTTCTTGTACTTTGAGATTTATAAACAATATACAAACAACCACGAATTTAATATTTGCAGGGTTTATCCAACTTACTGACTCATTTGATATTGCCTCAAAACTATTTCGGCGTATAATAGCTCATTCCATGAATCAGGCACACCAGGGAGGCACCAATGGCTGCAATCTTGAAATCTTAAAGGGTCTTTTCTCTCCTCTTCAGTAAGATTTTGCTTTCGGTAGACAGAAGGATGAGCATCCTTTCTATAATCGGTAAGTCTAGTGATGTTCATAAAGGAAACAGGGGTTTTCATTTCTTTCAGCACTGACTCAAGAACATTCATCTTTGGAGGATAAGAGGATAAATACCTCTCATCCTCTATCGGCTCTGTCTCTCGGTCACATGCCCCTCCAGAGTTCCATTGCCCTCCACTAAACAACAAAAAGAGAATTCAATTAAGTTCATTCCAGTTGGTAATGCATAACTTGAAAGTAACAAGATTTCAACATAATTTTTTTTGCACTCTTTTACCCTCAGAGAACTCACTAGTTTCACTGGCCAGGACGATATAACAAACCAAGGGTAAAAGAGAGGGGGGGGGGGATCTATCTGCAACAATAAAACTACACGGGCAGTGAGTGCAAAACAACAATAATATAGGGGTTCTTCTTTTTAGTTCATTGCCAACAATAATTTGTTTAGTTCATTGCCCTCCATTAAACAATAGAAAAGAATTCAATTTAGTTCATTGTTGTTGGTAATTATCCCTGGTATTAACGTAGTTCTGAACTTACTACCCATGCAGTTACACTGTTGCAGATAGACCCCCTGACTTAAAATTTCTAAACTCTTTTACCCTCGGGTGGACTCGCTAGTTTCGCCTAGGGGCAATTTATGACAAAAATTCACCAAGGGTAAAAGAGTCGAAAAATTAAGCAATGTGGACTATCTGCATCGATGAAAAAACAAGGGTATCCTACAGGGGGTTTAAGCGTGCAATTAAACTTGTCTCTTGCTTTGGTGAAGTTATACTTCACCAATTCTAATCAAGAAAGAAGGGATAAAATCACTACCTGAAATGAACAGCAGAGAAACCCCTGAAGAAGACAAGGGTTTTCTTCGGATTCACATTGGCATCTACCCACCTTGCCCATGTATTGAGAGCTTTATGGAATGCTACCACAACATTGAGCTCACCATAGACTCTATTCCCCTCTTGATAGTAGCCTTTCCTGTATAGAGAATTCCAATGTCAGCCTAAGTTCTAGGTAAGAAGAATAAGGCTAATTCCTAAGATTATGAAGTGCATAGCTATGACAGTTTTCAGTTACCCTTTTGAGGTCTTCTCATGAGTCCACCAATGGCCTGTGTTGAAGATAATGACATCGGCATCCTTGTAGTTGGAAGATGATCTCTCAATTATATCAAGACGCAAAGTTTCTTTCGTCTCGTTCCCATCGGGCATCTCCCACTCTTGAACAAGAAAAGGGGAACGAAAAAATTCCACGGTGGCATTATAATCCTATCAAATGAATATAACGAAGAAACGAATTAGTCCAACAATTAAGAAAACACCAGTATTAAGAAATAAATTAGCATTATAGGCGGCAGTCTACCTTAAACAAGAAAGAATAAGACCCTAGCGTTCTGAATTCGCGACGACCAGAAACCTCAAAAACCTTGCTCTTATCCTCTACCGAGTTCCTCAGGATACAAACCAGAGACTCCCACATGTTCCTATTGAGAGAATCACCAACAAAAACTAGGCGCTTCCCCCTCAGTCTCTCCAACATATCAGTTGCATTCAATCTACATTTAAATTTCAAGCAGTTGGGTACTTCTAATTTCGAATCAAGTAAATAAATCAATATTAAAACTAAAACAAAGCATACGGCAATTGAAGACTGGATTAAAACACGAAACAAAATGATGGAATTTTCTCATGTTAGATCTACATTGGAGCATCGGGTTTGCCAAAAATGAACAGATCCTGTAAAAATTTCAGCCGCAATAAAAACATACAGCAAGTGAAAAACATAGGATTTTGCCTATTCTCGGTCCTGAAAACCACATCGAATCAAAACAATGATCCGCTGTGGAAATTGTTCTCACCTTGGGATGTTGCAACCAGTCGGCTGCCATCGTAGCTTCTGATAATTTCGATCTGGCCTACCATTGCGATAACAATTAAAAGACTCGTCAATATTAGGGCAAGATCCCTCGGGATACAGAGGATAAGATTCATCTTTCACCCAATGCCCATGAAACAAGTCACAACCAATCATATCTTCAATCCGCTTCTCTTTCTTCTTCTCGTTGCTCCCATTTGAACTCAGCTCCATCGATTCGTTCGTTTTCGCAATCGAACTCGTAGAATTGGCCTTGGATTCTTTCTGGGTACTCGACGGATCTACATTAGATTTCAAAGGGGCTTCACTAGTTGAAGTTCGGCTCTCTTTTGAAACTGCAATTCCTTGTGATTCGGTTTCGCCCTGGGTCTTGTTCTTGCTCTCTGAGACTCCGCCTTTCTTGATCACAACCTCAGTGGTCCCCTGTTTTCGCTCTGTAACTTCACTTCCTCCGGGTCCAATCGCGGTTTGATTCTCTTTTGAAGCTCCAATTCCTTGTGACTCGCTTCCATTATCGGTCTGGTTCTTGCTCTCTGAAGCTTCACCTTTCTTGATCTCAACCTCAGGATTCCCCTGTTTCTGCTCTGTAACTCCGCTCCCACCGCCAGTTTCTGTTGAATTCTCATTCAAAACCCCACCATCAGTCTGATTCTCCCGCAAAACTCCATTTTCTACAGACCCAAATCCAACCTGAGTCTGATTCTCTATCTGAGATCCATTGACCCCGGACCCACTTCCCAAAATCCCACCTTCAGAATGCCCACCTCCTCCATCAACCCCATCGGCCACCGACGACGAAGAATTGGGGAAGAAGTGGGAGAAGAGGGAGGAAACCTGGGATCGATAGGGATCGATCGAGGCCTTGAATGATGAAGCCGAGGAAGAAGAGAAGAGGTTGTAGAACCAAGGGGAGGACGCATTGGTCGATGGGTTGAAGGCCAAGAACGCAGTGCAGGCTACAAAGGCGAACGCAAAGCCATAGACGAAGAGCTTGGTTCTTCTTGTTCTCGCTGCTGAGATGAGGGCCTTGAGATCGGAGGCGATGGAATTTGGGTTTTGGCTCTTCATTCTAGAGAGAGGGAGAGAGGAGAGGGAGGGAGGGAGAGAGAGAGAGAGAGGTTATTTTGGGGTTTGAGAGAGTACAAGGAAGAGAAAAGTGGGGGGTGAGGATATCAAGGGCTTTAACTGGAGCCGAGATTGAACTGTTGATTTGGTGGCTGGAAGTGGGCATGGATTTGGGTTATATTATCGGATTTGCCATTGGGTTTGTTTGGAAAGTTAGGATTATTAATGAACATTTATGTGTTAATAGATATAGATATAGTTATAGCTGTGGTTAGAGTGGAGAGTAAATCTAAACTTATTGATGTATCTTCAGTCTGGATATGTAAGTAACATTTGTTTTGATCCTTACCACATTTTTAGCATTTGAAAATGAACGTAATTTAATCTCTCTAGAAAGATTCTCTTTGAGCTTTTTGAATTTCAACCGTAAAATCCGGTTATTTATTAAGGATATACTCTGTATCTTTGGTTTCTGAATTTATCAACTTCCATTAGAGCATATTTGGTAACTGGGAAGTCAATTAAAAATGCGTGAAAAATTTAAAAAGTGGCTTTCTATTTTTATCACATTTGTCATTTGACAATTAAATGGAAAGTGATTAAAAACTGAAAAGTGCCACATTAGCATTTTAGCTTATTTCACTTTCTCCAAAAATTAGAGAAAACGGATGGAAAGCGAAGAGATAGGAAAGAGAAAATATTTTATTTAAAATTTTTTATACATCATTTTAATTTATTTGTCTAGTTTCTACTATGACTTTCTATGATAACCAACATAACAAAAAGAAAGTAAGTGTTACATCATTTATCAACTTAGTTTTCTCTCTTTTTACTTTTTAACATCCAAATAAGATTTTACAAAATAGAAAGTAATAAGAAAGTAACTTTGTGAGAAAGTACTTTCTCTTTTCTTTCACCTTCTATTTACTTTCCGCTTGCTAAACATGCCCTTAATGAAATGTCACCTTCTTGAGATAACTTGCTTGTGCACCTCAAAAAGGCTAAATGACGCTCATACACCCTATTGTGTCGCTAATTTGAAACTTAAATATAAATATCTTAGGTTGTAAAGCGTAGCACTTTGATACCATAGGTTGTAAAAACGTAGCATTTTAATATCCTAAGTTGTAAAGAAAATGGACACATACTTTATTGTTTTCATTACCTTTACACTTAGGGGCTGTTTGGTTCGCTATTATAAGGGGTGAAAAACTCAGAAAAACCCCTCCACGTCAGAGTTTTAGCCCTCCACGTCAGTTTTTTTGTTTCCGTCCATTTCTTTGTGCCGCTTTGGTTCGCTCGGATGGAAGAGGGAAAACTCTGCTGAAATCGCCGCCAACTAAGATTTTTTTCCCTCTCCGATTTCCTTCCCCAACCAAGTGAAATTGATAAAAACTCTGCCACGTCAGATTTTTTTCCTTCTCTGCTTTGTTTACAAAAGTTTTCCTTTTTTTCTATGCGAACCAAACACAAGAAAAATAAATACATTGGTTTCCCACCATTTTTTATGTGCGAACCAAAGCAAAACAATCTATTTCTTGGAAAAGTTTGGAAAACTTAAAACTTGTGTTTCTTTACATGAAATTGCATTTCTCTATATCAAGAAAACGAACCAAACAGCCCCTTAATATTCTAGGTTGTAAAAAAATAACACTTTAATATCCTAAGTTATAAATAAGTAGCACTTTAATACTAATAATATAGTACTTTAATACATTTTATTAGTTATCAGTATATATTTCTAGAAATACTCATGTGACAATTAACAGAAGGTACTAACAGAATGTACTAACGTGTCAAATTTTAATAACTTAGAATATTAAAATATTATTTTTTATAACTTAGAATATTTAAGTAACAGCTAGCCTCTCAAAAATCATTTAAAGCTACTTATATTATGTAATATTTACTCCTCGAGGGGGACAATTTGCCTCATAACTTTCCATGTGAAAGAAAACTTTGTCTTGCTCAAAGCCTAGCGTATGATAGATTTATAATGGGGTACGGTGTCATGTATTTAATCCAGTATCTCATTTGTTTCCTAGCAAATGTTCAGGAACACCTGAAAAAAATCGTGCAAAGCTCCTGTTGGTCTGTGGAATTTAGATTTGCCCATATTCTAATGGAGAAAAAAATTAAATAAAAATAAGATAAATTTAGGAGAAAAAAAACAAAAAATATAAAAATGGAGTTGAGGAAAAAAAATAAAAGTAACTTCTCATTGATGCCCATATTCTATTGCCATGATAGGATCTCCATGGTACAAAAGAAATATATAATAGTTAGTAGTGTGTATAAGTATAATGACTAGATCTCTATCTTTATTGCATTCGTAATCTTTACGCGTATTAGTTAGTTTATTTTACCTACAGATATAAATCTATCGTTTTCTGATGATTATAACTGTCTAGATTATATCTGTAAATAAATTCTCATCCATGCAACAAATTAAAATCTTTTGATTCTTAAAATTAGTAATAATGATTATATCAAAGAGTCTCATGTGAGGAAAAATGCTTTAGGGACCCAAAAACATGAGACCCTACATAAGACATGTGAGTTATCAGCTCCATATCCTATGATACACTATCCATAAACAGTGCATTATGAATAGTATATCATGAGACAGAGAACCGACACATCATCTATCCCATATTTTTTGGGCCTATTAGACCATCTCCAACCCATTGCACCAAAATAGTACAAATTTTGCACCAAAATGGTGCAAAAGTCACATCTAACAGTAATTCATCTCCAACCCACTGCATCATTTTTTGCACCAAAAAAGAATATTCTCAGTATATTCCTTTTTATCTACTTTTATATTATCATTTTCTATTCCCTATATTTTTAACTATATCAACAATTAACCCCACATATCAAATTTTATTTTCATCACATATTCCTTTCTATCTACTTTTGATTATAATGTCTAGATTTTAATATTATAATTAATAATAATGTCTTTTAAATTTTAACATTATTTTTATAATTAAAAAAATAATTTATTTTGTCCAAATTATACAATTGGAGTAAAATTATAAAATTTAAATATTATTGGGGTTGTTTTATAAATTTATGGAGTAAAATTATAAAATTTAAATATTATTGGGGTTGTTTTATAAATTTAAATAAAACATGAACAGTGCGACTCCATATTTGGTGCAGCACTGTTCAAATGCACCAAAATAACATAAGAAATGGGATAAGATTGAAGAATGAATAATGCCAAAAAATGCACTGTTTACACCGTTTTGATGCTAGGTTGGAGATGCCCTCAGCACCGCCCCTCATGTTATCTTTGCTTGCCACCGGTTCCGTTACGCATCGCGCCTATCTCCGCGTGGACCCCCCACCTAACTGGATCTTATCACTACGTGTCAATATAAGGAACACTGGTCGTACATACAGAAAACATCTAACGGTTTTAAATTGTCCATATATCGTGCGGTTGGCAAGTCGGTGGCGATGGACATGGGTGTGTGGAAAGGGTAAAATTGTAATAACTGTAAGAACCGAGGGCAAGAAGTTAACTGATCATGGAAGTAAATACGGGATGTGGGGCCCAGCGCCGTCAGCGTCCGTACTGGCGTCCCTCATCTGTGTTGTCCGCTGTAGTTTCTATCGTCATCGCGGTCCAAATTAGAAATTTGGATTCTTCTTTCAGAAGACGGCGATTTTTTTTGGTAGTGTTAATATTTAGAGCATCTCCAACAGCTTCCTCATCTTCTTGAAATACTCAAATTTAGAGAATATAGAGTTTTTTTTTTGTCCAACAGATTCTCCATCTCATTCCCCAAAATAGGGAAGGAGGAGAAAAAATAGGGAGCCTTCTCCAAATCTGCAGCATTCTCCAAATTTTTTGGGGAGAGCTTTATTATTGTAATAAATACGATTTTTCAAAATGGGGAAGCTGTTGGAGTTGGAACAAAAATAATTTGAAGAATATGACTTTTGTTTCTCCATTTTGGAGAAAATTTTGGGGAAGCTGTTGGAGATGCTCTTATATTCTAGATAAACCGGTACCCTAAAGTTTAACATTGGCGAGTAAAAAAAAAAGGCGAAATAGCGCGCTCAGAGTTGTAAGATTTTTCAGCTTTAAATTTCACTGTATTACCGTTCAAATTTTGTTTAAAATTATGTCACATGATTATCATTTATCACATGATAATATTTGATCACTTTTATACCACTAAACTAAAAAAGAAATCCTTATAAATCTATCCCTTCCATCTTGTACTCAATTAAATACCCTGAAATGTGGTATTGAACAGTGACAGAGATAATTCAATGGCAATATTTGTCAACAAATTTGAAAGGACTTAGCAAACGGGGATTTCTTAAATTAATTTAGCTGTGATGTAATAGAAGGCGTTAAAGCTGAAAATGATGAAACTTTAAGATATCAGGCAAATTTAAAATTGAATTGATAAAATTTTAGGGTATCAAAGTGAAATTTAACTCTTTTTATTGTCTAATTAGGCTGGAAAAGTTTATAATCCGAAAGTTAATCTTATAGGTGGGGCCCAAATTCAGTTGAAACTGCATTGGGCTAGAGTCTCCGTGGTTAGAAAAACGAAAGAAAATAGTCAAAGTAAAATAGTCAAAGGAGTTCGGGTTAGTTATCTTTGGGAGCTTAGGTGTAAGTGTTCTATTGATTGCTGGGTCCACAATTTATAATATTTAAATTTGACACAGTGCTTTTTTTTTAATACTTCAATTTTAATTTTTTCTTGGGATTTTTCTAGTGTAATAAACTTAGATCCTAGATACACTTTGTTGTCTGATTATATAACCATCTTCCTTCCAGCATGAGAAATAGGCGATCAAATCAGAGCGGAGTGACATCTTGACCTAGAAATTTGATTAGTTTCTTACCTTCTATTTTACTTCTCCCTCCCTTTTTCTTCACATATATTCTGTATCTTTTTTTACCGTTGATACATTTCTTGAGGCTAAATATCCATATTGGTATTTTAATTCCACCCTATTTACCAAGAATGTATTTTAATTAGTTAAACATGCTTTAAGATGTTTTAATTTATTCAACTTACCAACAAGACTATTTTTCTCGTCGGCGACCAGTTTTCC